CCACTGTGACCCCTTCCCGCAGGGGCCGGACCTGCCCCCGGCTCTCCGGCTCCACTCCCGCCCCCACTCCCAGACAGAGCAGAAGTATTTTTATAAGCAGAGAATTTTTTATGTCTTACCAGATAGAGATGCAGGGAGGGGCCTGCCGGGAGCGGTGTGGGGCCTGCGGAGACCCCCAGGGGGGGCGGGGGGGGCTGCTCCCGCAGGGAAGGCTCCTCCCATTTCTAAGCACTGAGGCCCCTGGGAGAAGCTGGGCCTCTCCCTGTCCTTCCCCGAGGCCCTCAAGCTGTCACTTTATGGATTGTCTGTGCAATTACGTCCACCAAAGACCTGTGTTGGGGGTCCAGGGAGAGGCCTGGGGGACCCCCTGAAGCATTATTGCCTCACTTGGTGTCACCTGCTTCTCTCCTATTGGGGCTAAGGAGGTAGGCGACCCCCTGAAGGGGAGGCCCCCGTCTTACCCACCCCTCCCCTTTGGCACAGCTGCCCCTGGCCGGGGTGGGGTGGTTTGGGGTTTGGGCATCCCCAGTCACTGCCTCAGCTCATCTGGGAGGCTGTGCCCTTGACATTAAAATAAAAACCCACCAGTGCTGTCTGTGGCGTCTGCGTGTTGATGGGGTGTGTGGGGCAGAGGTCTTGGGGCAGGCAGACCAACAGCCAGTGGGGCCTGGGGCGGACCTTGGCAAGAGGATTCCTTCTTTGTCCTTGGCTTTTGCTGTGAGCTGTGGGGGACCAGGCATCTTGGGTGTCTATCTGGACAGCCTGCCACGTGCATCTACAGTTCTCTTGGTTATAAGTAACAGAAAACCCACCCTAAACTTCCTTCAGAAGAACAGGAATTTTAGGCTCTTGTAATAATTACTCAACCCAGGGGTGGCTTCAGGGAAGGCCTGATCCAGGTGCAAACGTGATCAGGACTTAGCTCCCCAGTCAGCTTTCTATCCTATTTTCTTGGTGTTTTGCAGTCTGGGGGGGGGGGGGGGGGGGGGTGTTTGGAGCATTAGAGGTTTTTCCAGGGGGAGGGGTGTCTTTTGGCCCTGAGATGGGTTCCAGGCGCTCCAGGGGCTAGTGGGATGTACTGTTGAAAGCTTTGTTTCTGTCGTAAATGCTGCGGAGACAGGCACGTTTGTACATACATCCGTGCATTAGAATATGCCATATTATTCACCCATTTAAGAGGACAACTCAATGGTTTTTAGAGTATTCGAGCTGTGCAACCATCTCTGCAATCTAATTTTAGAATACTTTTGTCACCTCCCAAAGTAGTCACTCCCCACTTCCCCTCAACACCCCAGCGCTGGGCAGCCTCTCATCGAAGCCCTGTCTCTGTAGATTTGCCTACAGACTTTGATACACACTTTGAATTAGACTTTCAATAACCACTAGTAACTATCGCACTGACATAGTCTCAGAAGCAGGATATGACAGTCCCCTGTCATGCTATGGTCACAGCACTGAGTATTCTCATTCTGAAACCTACGCTAACCTGATGGATGAGAAATAGTTTCTCATTTTCAATTTCCTTATCCTTCATCCCACATGAGGCACAACCACTGTAAGAAAGGTGCCCGGGCCTCATTTCATGGTGAAGGAGCTGGGCTCACAGGTTGGGAATGACCAAGAGGGAGTCAGGTGGGTCGGGAAGGGCTGGGGCTCAGAAGAACGAGCCGGCTCTGGGTGGTCCCACCTCTGCCCTGTGTGGTCACTGCAGGGAGAGACAAATGTGACCTGGGCTGAAGGCTGCACAGGGTGTGGACGGCAGAGTGCGGGGAGGCCCGAGGCAGGGAGTGGGGAGGCTGGAGGCCGGAGGCAGGGAGTGGGGAGGCTGGAGGCTGGGAGTGGGGAGGCTGGAGGAAGGGAGGGTACTGGCAGTCTGCTTCTCCACCTTGACTTTGGCCTCTGACCAGCCCAGCCTTACATGGTGGCTGTCTCTTTCAGGACGGCCGCAAACGGCCTCTAATTCTACTCTTAGAAAGGCCTCGGAGAGCAGCTCGGGTTCCTGGCTCTGTTGACATGCTGATGCCCTGAGAGGACCTGACAGCCCTGAACACCTCCCAAGCTCACTTCCGTTAGAACTGAAGTCGGGGTGCTGCTTTCTGCCTGTACTCTGCACAACCAGCCTTTGACTCTGGGCAATTTGCCCCTCACTGTTCCCTGGGGCTCTCTGAGAATATTCCAGTGATGCAGTAGGGATTGCAAACTGGCTGCCTGTGCCTGGCATACGGAGACTTTTTTTTGGTAGCACATGTTTTAAAATGAGAAAATGCACATAAAACTCTGGATGTTTGATGTTTATTGATAAATTGCAAGGGCTGGCAGCCCTGGGACAGTCTCCATGCACGGCCTAATCAGCTGGAGCAGGCCACGGGGCCTCTGCTTTCTAGTTTGCCACAGTCCCCACCACCCCCTATCGCTCATGCCAGCTCTGTTCCATTTATTTCCCTGGACCCTCTAGTATTTGAGTTTGTAACTCCGATGTAAACAGTTTCCTTCCACATTTACGGCTGCACAAAAGTGGAGTTTGTAAAATGTCAAAGATGCTCCATGAATCTTTTTTTGGTTACCAAATTTAAATTTAGTTTATATTTGTGAAAGGATAAACTTACGTGATTCCAAAGCCAAAGGATATAAAAGAATCCACAGTGGCCCTAGCTGGTTTGGCTCAGTGGATAGAGCGTCAACCTGCAGACTGAAAGGTCCCAGGTTCGATTCCAGTCAAGGGCATGTACCTTGGTTGCGGGCACATCCCCAGTGGGGGGTGTGCAGGAGGCAGCTGGTCGATGTTTCTCTCTCATCGATGTTTCTAACTCTCTATCTCTCTCCCTTCCTCTCTGTAAAAAATCAATAAAATATATTAAAAAAAAAAAAAGAATCCACAGTGAGAAATCTCCTTCCAGTGCCCTGGCCCTTTTGTTACCTGAGGCACCAATGGCAGCAGTCCTTGTGTAGTCCTTCAGGCATGTTTATTGTGTAGTCAAACCAGTATAATAATAGTAATAATAACAATAATAATATATTTTCAAAACATTCACCTCATAGAATGTTAACTTTAGAAAAAAATCAGAAACAAAAAGGGAAAAAAAGAAAGGGAAATCATGTGGGGCATCAGTCTCCATGGATAATTTGTTAGTTCACATTTTATGCATTCTCTTCCAGATTTTTCTTTTTTTAAAATATACTTTTATTGATTTCAGAGAAG